TCAAGAAGTTACTCCATACTGTGTGGGGTTGCTAAATATCAAATGAGCTTCAAGTCCAGCCCTTAATTCCTCATTAAAACACCTACTGAGGGATTCTACAATTTCCCCTTAACTCACGTATTCACTCCATGGAGAAAGCTCACGCTTTTCCATCTCCTAAATCACCGGTGGAGGATATAAATTAGGATTACCTTTCTGGAGAGCCATTTGGCAGCAGGGATCCAAGGCTTTACAATGTGAGTACTCTGACCCAGCGATTGCATGTTTAGGAATTTACCGTAGGGACAGAGAGCTACGTACACCATGCATGAACGAGGCTGTGCATCCAACGTTGTTCATGGTAGCAGAACACTGGAGATGCCCTGAGTTTCCAGCAGAATGAGGGTGGCTAAGTCATTGGTTATTCCACATAAGGCCATGCTGGCATCCACGCATCCATAATAAACACGCATTGTTTATTAAGCTCCTACTGTGTGCCACGCACACAGAAGGGGCGATGTCAGGGCTGATACGGTTTCAGCACACCTGAAGTTCAAAATTTTGTTGTTGATTTCATACAGTGTGAAGTGAAGAAAGGAAAAAAAAAAAGGGCACAAAATGTATTTACAGTGTGCTCTCACTTTCGTTGTATGAATAGAAAAACCTGGAAGGCAGTCTGAATTAACAGAGGTATAGAGGCTTTGGGCAATGGGCTTATATCCATGCATTTTTTTCCCCTTTTAATTCTTCTCTAGTTTCCAAGTTTTCCATAGTGACCATTATGATTTTTATAATATTTTTTAAAGATTTTATTTTATTTATTTGACAGAGAGAGAGACACAGCGAGAGCAGGAACACAAGCAGGAGGAGTGGGAGAGGGAGAAGCAGGCTTCCTGCGGAGCAGGGAGCCGGATGTGGGGCTCGATCCCAGAACCCTGGGATTATGACCTGAGCCGAAGGCAGACGCTTAACGTCTAAGCCACCCACGTGCCCCTATAATTTTTTTTAAATATGACTTTGAAGATAGAGAAAAAGAAGTGAACAGACCTGGGTTCTAGATCCAACTCTTCCTTAAACTCTTGGTGAACTCTTGAGTGAGTCAGAGAAGCTCGTGAACAGCCTGGAGGAGGAGGTCTCTGAAGCCTCCAGCTTGAGGTTCCCAGATCCCAAGCTCTTGTCTCTTCTGAGGACACTGGGGGATTGTGCTGCAGGGCTGGGCTGGGAGCTTCCCCAGGAGGCAAGACTGCAGCCAGGCTGCTGAGTCCCCAGTCCCTGGGCACTTCCAGTCTCCTGGGTTCTGGTCCTCTAGGCATCTGGTGATGGACTCAAAGGGGAAAAGAGTTTGTGTATTGGGCATATGGTAATTAAATTAAGGAAGTGCCTCTCACCTAGCAAATAAAAATTGACTTGCATTATCTCAGCCAAATGTCACTGCACCCTGAGAAAACAGATGACAGCAGTTCCATTGATTGAACCATATCCAGTGCCAGGTATGGTATGCAAAGCATTTTGCAGACATTTTCCTAGTTGAGGCTCCTGGCACGCCCTGAAGTGGGTACTCATCACCCCTATTTTATAGGTGGGGACCTTCAACAGAAAGCTAACCTAAGCAGGTCACTTGGGTAGAAAAGGCTGGGACTGCAACCCCCCTCTACCTGCTCTAAGCAGCGTCTCTAACCTCTCCTCTGTTCTGCCTCCCCCTCCAAGAGGCTGGCTCTCCTGTCACCATACACACAAGTGTCTAAAGTCAGGGCCGTGTGTGAGGGCAAGTGACAGAATGCTGGCAGAGACTTAGAATGGGCACAGTCTCATTTCTGATGAAACCAGATGCAGAGCAGGCTATTAGCTGCCTTTTCTGGGGGGTTATAAATGAGGAAATTGGGGTTTCACACAGACACACACACACAAACACACAGAGAAAATATCTCCCTTGTGAAAACTGTAATAAACTTTCCTTCTGCTTGTGATTTGAAATCAAAGGCCAACTATTATACCTCATATCTATACTACATCTCACAAAAGAGTGAAACCCTTATACCAAGACCTGACCTTTGTTGTTTGACTGTTTTTCTTGAAATATTTTCCTTGCTGGTTCCAGCTTTGCTTATTTAGTAGGTATTTAGGTATTTAAAAATTTGTGAGACATACAGGAGATATCAGGGACACACAGATGGGAAACTGTAAGTTAAAAGGAGGAGAAAGAATTGTTTCTTTTCCCCATTGAAACAATGTTTCCATCAATACCATAGATACTATATCCTGTGTTTCAATTTCAGTTCCTCTGTAGTTCAGATTCTTCTGATTCATTTTATATACCATGGCCAGATTAATGTTTCTAAAATACCACTTTCATGTTATCATCTCCTACTTTACTTAGAACACTCAGTGGCTCCCCATCATCTAGAATAAAATACAAACTTGTGGGTTTTGAACCCAGGTTCCTTCGTAATCTGTCTGCAACTTTACCTTTCCAGCCATCTTCCCAGTTATTCCCATGAGGGATCCTCTTGCTCAGATGAACTGGTCTCTGCCGTGGTTCTCTGAATATACCCTTGACCTTCCTCACTTTGAGTATTTGCTTTACTGCTCAGTGCAGGAAAGAACCAAGTGGAAAGTTCTCCCTTCCCTTTTCCTTTCTCTGAAGTCCTACCCTTTCCTTCGGGCACTAGTCACATTTTCCTTTTTTTAAAAAATGAGTAAACAGGGCGCCTGGGTGGCTCAGTTGGTTAAGCGACTGCCTTCGGCTCAGGTCATGACCCTGGAGTCCCAGGATCGAGTCCTGCATCGGGCTCCCTGCTCGGCAGGGGGTCTGCTTCTCCCTCTGACCCTCCCCCCTCTCATGCTCTCTCTCTCTCTCATTCTCTCTCTCAAATAAATAAGTAAAATCTTAAAAAAAAATGAGTAAACATTCCTTGACTATCCCAGCCTGGGATGACCTGGGTTACCCTATCACTTACTATCTGCAGTTGGAGCCCCTGCGGGGCTAGACCAGCTCAGTGCGTTGCATATCACAGGAGCTCCATAAGCACCCAACTGAACTGCTAACAAGGAGTGCTTCCTGTCCCGGCCGCAAAATACTGCTACACCAAGACAGGACCTCTTACCCTTCAGAAAACAAATAGTAATTCTTCTGGTCGTGTGCTCAAAATGCATATGTTGGGGGTATTAGTTAATTATTTGTCATGCACTTGCCACCCATGACTAATCCTATTATATGACTGAAATGGAAGCCCAGAGGTGAAAATACTTATATGACCTCACAAAGCCTAGCGTGTTGGTGGAACCAGTATTTGAACCCGCATTTCCTCCTGCTAACTTATCAGGGCCGCTGTTCCTTTTAAACCATGAGTCATAGGCCATCAGAAACTTCTGTAAATATTCTGGTGGCTTTTGTCATCCTCCCTTTTTTTCTCTAAAGGGCCAGACAGTAAATATTTTAGGCTCTGCAGGCTCTGTGGTTTCTGTTGCAACTGCTCAACTCTGGCCCTGGAGTGGGAAAGCACCCAGGGCCACTGCGGAACCTACTGGGAGTGGCTGTGTGCCAACACAGTTTTATTTACAAAAGCAGGCTGTGGCCTGGATTTGGCCTGCAGCAGGTGGTAGTCTGCTGACCCCCTGCGATAGACGGTTCCCCTCTCTCTGTTCCTCACATCGGTCCGGAAAGTCAAGTTTAGGCGTAAGAAATTTTCAGTTTGAATTCTGAGCAGGCCCCAAAATTGTATACAGGCTAACGTGTGAATTATGTCCGTGGTTCGGAAGACTGGCTGCTTAGGCTAAAGGGGGAAGTTGCAGATGTTCAAGCAATAGTCTGTGTGCCTAATGAGCAGTAGACAACTGGTCATTCCATGAACATGGGTGTTGGTCTCAAGGGGAACATACTGGGGACACTCTCAGCATTGGGGGCACATAACCCCTTGAACTAACCAGCCTGAGGCTCTCCCCACCCAACCTGAGTATTCCCTTATGCCCAGAGTTTACACCTATAATCCACAGGCTGTCCCATTTCTCACATGTGAAGGTGGACCCCAAGAAAAGTCATAACTACAACAAATGAGGTACAGTGAGCTCCCCGGTCATGTCATCACCCACAGTTTTTATTGGTAGCAGAGTGAAGTGATCCATCTGCATGGAGGTAAAGGAGCGTTGTAGGGAATCGTTCTTAGGAATGGCTGAGATACCTCTCTCCTGAAAGGAACATGTAGGTTTGGGGGAAAAAAGTCTTAAAAACTGTGGGTCCAGCTCACCTCCATGACTCCATCCTAAGAACATGCACATACTAAAGGCAGCCCCCAACAAATCAATGAGGTCAGCAAGTTTATTCTGGTTCTGCTCTTCTGAGGGGGAGAGCTATTTGCTTTTTTTTTTCAACAGAGACAGCATAAGATCCGGGACCGAGAACACACAAGTTTTTCCACGGTCTTCAAGGTGTTGTGGAAAATATCAGAAAATCCTAATTAATTCCAGGAAAGAATTTCAATGGTTTCTTTAAAAAAATTTTTTTCTGAACTTTAAAGTATAGTTGACACACAATGTTACACGAGTTTCAAGTGTCCAACATAGTGATTCCACGTTTTGCTGTGCTTGCCCCAAGTGTAGAATTTCGGTGGCCGCTTGATCCTTAAACTACAAAGAAAGAAAAGGAGGAAAGGTTTTAAATCTTTATGCTTGGGAGAAAACACCCTGGTTTTAGGCAGTTAATGTAAATCGTGAGCAAATCATTCTTTAAGTTGACTCTTACCTCTTATTCTATTTAATTCTCTTTATTTTCTACATAATAATAGTAAACCCTTGCCGGGCATTTAGCCTGTGCCCTGCATGCCTGTGGGGTGCTTTACATATGCCGATTTATTTAATCCTCGGGCAGCCCGGGGAGGGTCGGCAGTCTTACATCCCCATTTCACAGGTGAGGACAGGAAGGCGCTAAGAGGTGAGATGACTGCCCGCACCCTCACTGTGCTCATACTCATCTGGCCGCCTGCCTCTGTCTTTTAGTTAGTTAGTTGGTTAGTTCTTATTTTAATTCCAGTTAGTTAACATTCAAATACAGCATGCTTCATCTTTACGCAGGGGCCATGCTAATCTTGTCTGTATTCTCTGTATTGTTCCAATTTTAGAGTCTGTGTTGCCAAATCCTTTAAATGGATGTTGCGACAGTCAGAAATACTCCTTCTAATGGATCCGTTCCTTCTCAGAGCGGACTGACCAGTCCGTCATGCCGTCCCCTACTCGGCAAAGATTTCTCACACTTGCTCTCTGCTGGGTAGGACTCTGCTTCTTTGGCTTGCTCAGAAGCTAGTGGTGTCCCATTGGGGCATGGTGGCTGCCAGCATATGGGGTGAGGTGAGGGAGAGCCCTGTGTGATGTCACCTCCATGAACTGTCTTGAGCCCAGAGAAGCACACCTGTTTCCCGAGGGTGCACCTGTTAGCTAAGCTCACAGGACAGGTGGAGGGAATCAGAAGGCTTGTGTATTAATTGACAGAGATATTACTGAAGGGGTTTGGTGAGCTTGGGAATTGGGAAGGGAAGGCGGGGTGATTTGAGTGTTGAGTGCCATTGGAAAAGTCAGCGGGCCACAGACCCCCCTGTAACTAGCTCCCATTGTTACTGAGACTCCAATCTCAAGGCCAGGGTTAACGCTATCAGGGTGCAGGGTGGGTCTTGGAAGAGGCCTCACGTTTGAGGAATGCGTGTAGGGTCCTCCAGTGCTCTGCCCTTCTGCCCACTTCCACCCCTCCCTCCCTTTCAGGAGGACACTTCAGTATTTTAGATTTGTTAGCACAGTCCACCCTGAGGCTGGGAAGTGGGTATCTCTCTCTCCCTGGGATTTTACGTATGTCTACCCTTCTCTTGCAGAAGGATGGCCTTTTCTGTTCTAGCTGGTGGGAGGAGTAGGGCAGAGCGGAGACCCTGAGAGGTGAGCACTGATAATAATGATAATGACCAGTAACACTATATTAATGGTAAAGTCCAAGGTCTTGCCTTCTACTGGTTTCCTGGGCTCCTCACTGGCCCAAGAAGATAAAGCACACACCGCCTTGTAGTTTCATCTTTTTTTTTTTTTTTAAATCTCTACACCCACCGTGGGGCTCGAATGCATGACACTGAGATCAAGAGTTGCACACTCCACTGACTGAGCCATCCGGGCCTCCGGTGTCGTCATTTTGAACAGAAAATTAGTGGTACCGAAACATAGCAGGTCCTGTCCTGAGTTCGGGGAGGACTGAGGCAGGGGGTTCAGGTAGTTGGGGAGCTGGGCCTCACAGGAGGGACCAGGTTCTTCAGACAGAAAACTGAGTCAGCAGGGAGTGAATCCACCAGAAGCATTATGCAGATGACGCAGTTGTTCTGAACTGAGTGGGGGAGAGGCTGCTGGAGGCTGGGATGGGACCCTGAGGAGGACCCCTGGGGTTGGGGAGGACAGGGAGCTGAGGCTACAGCTGTGCCTCACACTAAATTGGGGGCTTCCTTTTCTGTGGTCAGACGGCTCCCTCTTCTCTCCTTGGGTCCCTCCCTCAAGCCCACAGCCTTCAGCTCTCACCGAGGTTTGGACACGTGGACCCACTGTCACCATACCGGGCTTGCTGCAGCCTAATCAGCATCACCTGAACCATAAATGACATCAAAGGAGCCGGCTGGTCACTGACCAAGAGGTTGTGGCCCCAAGGTGACCCATTGTAGAGTCCCACTGTTGCCCACTGACAAGGATTAAACCCTCTGCCCTGCAGGAAACTGAATCAGGGCGCCTTCTGCCCCAGTCTGCCCCACGGGTTTGAGACAGCCCCTCCTTCCCCAGCCCTGCCAGGAAGCTGCCGGGGCCAGAGGCCAGGGAGGCAGGCCTGTGTCACAGAAGGGTAGCCCTTTCTTTCTTGTCTTGGGGTGGGGGGGCGGTGGGCAGGCCAAAAAGCAGGACTAACAAGGCAGGGTGGCACCTGGCTTGGGGCCCTTTGGATCAGACTGCTGGGTTCAGTCTGCCACTTCTCAGCTGGGTAACCTTTGGTGGGTCTTTCTAACCTGCTTGAGGCCCAGATCCCTCATCTATAAAATGGGGTAATAACACCTGCCTCAAAGAACCCCTAGCTGACCACGAGGAGCTGGCCCGCGAAAAGCCATGACCCGGCTCACCTGCACCCCGGGAGCAGATGCAGGCCCCGTATGGCCTGAGGCCTATTTAATTTGGGAGCCCTCTCTAAGAAAAAATGTAAAATTATAAATATAAAACCAGGTTTATGAGGGAGCGCTTATTTCAAATGATGAAAGAAAATGTAAAAAATATATGTATATGTTTCAAAAGCTGACATCCCAAACATCACAAAATCCAGAAAAATAACACAAATATCATAAATCGGCTGTTTCACACACGTCTGCATGACTTGTTTTTTCCTACATTTTTGGGCTGTTGTGCTCTTTGATGCCTTCTTCCTATGACAGTGATTTTAGAATGGCATTTTCCTCAAGAGAACAGCAAGGTAATTCAGTCATTCCTCTAGCATAGTTCGTGGGGGCTTGTTTTTCATTCTTGATGGATTAGGGAAAAAACTTGTTTGCTTCACAAGCAGTTATTGGTAATGTCATGTAAATTTTTAGGATTATTGGGCACCTGGGTGGCTCAGATGGTTAAGCGTCTGCCTTAGGCTCAGGTCATGATCCTAGGGTCCTGGGATTGAGTCCTGCATCGGGCTCCCTGCTAGGCAGGGAGCCTGCTTCTCCCTCTGCCTCTGCCCCCCTCTCTCTCTCTCTGACTCTCATGAATAAATAAATAAAACATTAAAAAAATATATTTTTTACGATTATTGTCACATGTCGGGGAATCTTTCTCAGGTTTTTTTCATGTCTGAGCCATAGGGTTTCAGGACATTTAAGTGTTTCTGTGCGGTGACTAAGCTTAAATACTGAAGGTGCTCATTCCACACGTGGCTGGGGTCCTTCCTGGGCCCACTGAAGGGGCCGCGGGAGAGAGGGGTGCTGACGCTTTAAGCCTCAGTATCTGGTGGCAAATCCTCCTTCTCGATAAATGTTAATTAGACCCTATCTAATTATTACATCTATTGATACTCATCTTTTTAATTTTATAGTTTTAGGATTACTAAAGAATGTGTTCTTACTGATGACAAATACAATCTTACAAGAGTTCGGTGTGCGTGACGATCACTCCTTCTGTACCATTTGTTAATTGTCTACTCCGATCAGCCTACCTCACGTTGATATCTGGGGAGCATTCGATGACCTAAAGCAGATAAGACACAGCTCAGCGTCTTCATCTAGTAACTACTCAATAAACTTAGCCATTGAGACCCGTGTCACCCCTCCATTGGCACCCGATTTGGAGCTGGGCACTTGGAGATATAAAATTGAGACATTGTTCCTCCGAGAGGTAGGGAAGAGACCAGCTTTAGGTCCAACTCTGAGACTGAAGTGGGAGTCAGGTTTTGTCTCAAGTTATAAATAGAATGGTCCTCAGGGTGCCTGGGTGGCTCAGTCGGTTAAATGTCCGACTCTTGATTTCGGCTCAGGTCATGATCTTGGGGCCCTGGGATCAAGCCCCACTGGACTTGGAGCCTGCTTGAGATTCTTTCTTTCTCCCTCTGTGTCCTGTTCCCCTCCCCACCCAGCTCGCTCGCTCTCAAAAATAAATAAATAATATATTAAGAAAATAGAATGGTCTTCCCCCATTAGCCACGAATTCTCTACAGTTAATCTCCATTCATGAATTCTTCAGTCATCAAAAGTACTCTATTAATATAGTCACAGTTACACATTAAGCCGTACTTTTAAAGAGCTCAATGATAGTCTTTAGTTGCCTATGTTTCCCCCAAATCTCTTGATTCTTAGCAAGTTCAGCCACTAAATTTGTCAAAATACGGTTTGCTATTTTGTAATGTTAAAGACTACTGTGGCAGAAATATCTGTGTACAGGCAGTCAGGAAATCGGAGTGGCCACTAACTCTGCTCGGGTATCTGTTGGGATGCTTTTGGTTGCAAATGACAGAAAAGCCACTTCGATGACAGGGTCAGGCCCACTCACGCCACAGGACTGGAATTTTGGGGGTGCTGTTGAACAAGGAAACTACCTGTGTGTATTCTGTGACATGTGGCCCTAAATCACGTCGCTTCTTTGGGCTTCATTTGCCTCCTTTAATTAGGGGCTCGTCTGACACCATTAGTAAAATCCATCCCAAGAGTAACCTTTAAGATTTTATTTTCTGTTTACATTAATTGGTTTTTGTAATGAATAAACAAATCTTTTCTGGCCAGTGCTGTCAGGCCAAGAATGTAATTAGTAAATAAATAGCTCTGTGTAGATTAAATGATAAGTCAGGGCAGTCAGCCTTAGTGACTTTCTTCCTACTCATGAGTTGGAGATTTTGATCTAGAAAAATGAGCCATGGAGGATGTGAGGGAGGAGCCCTGGAACATGGCCCTGCTCCGACTTAGTAAGTGTCTGACTTAGTACGCGTATCTTTTGCGTAGAAAATGCAACTCAGTTGTTCATTCACAGGAGCTCCGGGAAGGTCTGGGCAGGGCTTATGTTTCTTAGCGTAACCATTGGAGGCTTTGCGATGATGCTGGTATCACAAGGAAGCTGAGAGAGGTTGAATTTGGATCCAGAGGGAGCTGGTGTTGGCAGAAGCCAGAGGGACTCTAAATGGCAGTGGGATCGGATCCCTGTGGATAGCTGAGGGTTTCTCGGGACTGAAACCCACAGGCCTCAGCTTTCTACTTCATCCACTTCTTCCAGAGCCTTTGGCTAGCCTTGAGATGAGATTCCAGTCGTAGCACCAGGAGAGCTCTCAAGGAAGCATGTGGAGGTGGTTCGTGACGGAATGAACTCCTCGGCCCTGGTGCCCAAGTCGACGTGGGAATGCCGCGGATGTGAAGATGTTGCAGGTGCTGGAGATGGCTGTGAGCTGTGGGAGCATGTCTCCTCCACACCTCCAGTGCCCTGGGCTGTGTGAAGACTCCGGGGCACGTGTGGGGCACAGGGCTGCCTCGGTAGGGAGCCTTACCCTTCTGTCCAGGATCTGTGGGAAAAGGTTAATCTGACTGGTAGCGCAGTCAGTATATTTTCATGGCGACTTGCTGATTTTTGAATCTGTTTGTAGAGTTGGCAAAGGTTGATCTGTGCCTCGATCT